GTTAGTATATATATATATATATATATATATATATATATATTTCGTTGTTGCCTCTGATTTTGCTTTAATGCGGTGGGTGTAGCTTGGTTGTGTATGAGAACGGGACTTTTGGTTTGTGATGATTAGCAGCGTGCGATCAATCAATATGTAATGAACTGTTTGTAAAGTAATCTTAGACTCGGTGCAGCATATCGACTGCTTTTGTGTTGTTGTTGTTATTTTTTTAACTACCACGTCTTGCGGATGTCAGACACTGAGGCTTTTCAATATGATTGCGTCTTTCATAAGTTTGTAATTCTGAAGGGGTTTTTAGTCCCCAGTTTTGATTTTGTTTTTGACTGTTGTTGGTTGCACATGGTTCGTTTGTTGTTGTTTCCCAAAGACGAATACTCCTGTCAAGAGCCATCGACAAGCGAGAACAGAACACGCATGCAACGTCTGAGTATCAATTCAATATCTACCGAATCTCCCACCCGAATTGCTGTGTAGGTTGTCAGCGTCTATCGATTAATCACAAAGAATACACTTGAGGAGAAGGTCATGGGACTGCAGAAATTTAAACTCAACATCGCAAATTCCGTCATTACATCTGAGAACGCAAGCATGCGCTCTATGGATACCACACAACTGCTGGACCTCTTCAACACAGATGTAAGTATATGTATACGTTTATAAATGGTTCAAAATAAGTGTACATGTACACATACAGAGAGTGCATGCAAGTATGAGCACATAATTGTAAATAAGAATGTTTGTAAATAGGTTTGGTAAATAAGTGTCTGGGAATATACAAGCGAATGCATTCTTGTGAAGTACAAGACTCTTTCGTTCGTATCGCAGAATTAACGATCGATGGTTTACATTGAATGGAGTACCATCCTAAAAGAATGCATGAAACCCAATCTTGATTGTACGTATGTGCTATCTCACTATAGATAAAAAAACTCATCACCTTTAGTTTTCTCCCTATTCAATCGTCATTCTGGCGATAACCGCACAATAGGAACAAGAGAAGAAGCCCGACAACAAATCCGCATCAACTGAAAAGGTTACCATAGCCAATGCGGCAGGGCAACTAGAGGAATTATGGGATGAAAACCAGTACGACGACGAATACGATATGAACAGCTTCTTAGCCTCGCTAAAAAAAGAATAGCACAATGACTGATTTCTTGAGTATAAAAGTATAGAAATATTGACATAAAGGTTTAGGAGACTTGAGATCACTTCCAGATTGCATAAGATTTGTATGAACCAAAATCAAAATGAAACATCTACTTCAAACGATTCCGATCAGTCACTTTCTGGCTGTGCTGAAGGGGAGAATATATCAGTATAAATGTATAAGCATAGATTGCGACACTCAAATTGAGAGGAAATCAAATTCAATCCGACCTGATCTTTAATCGACATGACTGATTTGATCTTTTATTTTTGTGGTGAAGGAAGAGTTTGAACAATATTGGGTATGAAGAAATATTTGCATATCAGTCGGATATGTCAGGTACACAGTACAGTGGTTCATGCAGCTTCCAGAGCTATTGATGGACAAGTGGTCTCATAAAAATCGGATACTGCAATACCATATACAGGTGTGTTTGCTACTGCTCGAGTCTCGACTGCCGGGAAGAATGGAGGGATTAGGGACGATGGGTTTCGCAAGATCTAGAGGCGAACTGGAACCAATAGATGAGGAGTAATGCAAAAATTTAGAGCTCCGAAATCGACAATTTCTCGACGCCGGCGAAATCAATATGACTCAAAATTCGTTACATCCTTTCTGATCTCACAACATCCGCGCTTCCTTATGCCCACTGATGATCATGATGTTTGGATACTTCAATACTTACGTGATTTCATACCTGTATAGAGAAAACTTTGTCGCGTTGCCTAGAATCTTTATTCGACCGTATCGGTCAATTTCGAACGTGATAACCCTTGATAAATTAACTCTAATTGGATTTAGTTTTAGCTTGGCGGCAGCTGAAACAGAATGATTCAAAAACAAATTGTTCACCCGCATCAAAATTACCAGGCTGTGGCTTTAATACTTTTTCACACTTTTTGCCTGCTCAAATCGTTCATTTTTTTACCTATGTATTTACGTTGTTCTTTACTCAAATCCTAGTAAAGTATATCTTAGCTCAGGTATACTAGGTCCGGGACGTTGCCCTCAAAGTTAGTCATAAGGTATTGCGGTCAGTATTGCTGCGAAGGAAGTTATCGTTGTGGATGTTATGTCTCTGAGACTTCAGTTTGATCTCACGACATTCGCGCTTCTCAATGGCTACTGATGGCCTCTTAACCTGTTACTGCTCACTTTGTTTTATATTCCAATACAAGTCTGCTAGCGCTGGAGCTTTCCTCTTATGAAAAGATCATGTTGTTTCGAGACTGATTTCATTCTTCCATTGGCAGTGTTGTATCAAAGTCTGCCACTCCTGTCCTGATCTCATGACATCGGCGCTTCTTCGTACCTACTGCTGCAGATATTTTGCTTTTTGCTTCTTGCTTCTGTGTATGTAAAACTTTTATAGTTGGATAGACGCAGCTCGGAATTTAATTCAATTATGTGTTGCTGAAAGTCAAATCGCAGTAGTACGTCTAAGTACGTCTATTAACGTTTCCATCTCGAAACCGTTTTCAAAGTCAGGTATTCCGGGCAACTGCGCAAATGATTGTGAGCCAACCACTTGTCTTCGGATTCTGTATATTTACAGGTATCGCCTCTCTTGGTTTCTTACTCGTGCGTATTCAACATTGATATGGGAGATTAGCCATCAGTTGCAGAGTACAAGACCAGGGAATAGTTGAAACAGAAGTAACAGGGGTTAGGGTTTAGATAACTGAATTCACTTGTAGTAAGGTTACCCGATTTGAGAACATATTAGATTCAAGTTCGTGTTGAAGTGGGCAATCTATAGCATAGCCTGGGGCACGCAATTTACCAGTTTCATGTGTTGCTCTGGCTTCCTAGACATTATCCGCGCATGCATCAAGCGGTGGTGGCCAAAAAATTGTCCTAAATTGTCCTCTTCTAAATTTTACACTGAAACTCCCCTCATGAACTTTCTCGAGGACTTTTCTTCTTGGTCATAAAAGTGTGTACGTTTATCAGCCTGACTATCGCACATAAAAGGCCTCTTTAAGTATTCTGTAGCTATTGTGGAAGTGTCATACGCCCCTTCCTTATTCGCGCAAGTATATCAGAGCCATTTCGATATCTACGGTCACCATAGTATCTAGGTCTTCATAAAAGTATAACCCGGATATCTTTTATATTATTGTGATCCGATTTCTAAACCGCGATTGGGATAGTTATCCTACGCGTGCTTTCAATGCCTGCACTGCAAATTTGAACGTATTTGTCACTCCTTCTCACAGACACTCGCAATGGTGCATCTTCCTTTGTTTAAATTTTTGAGAGTATAAAAGTTTTTACATTGTGTACCTGCTAACCAGCAAAATAAACTGTCCTACACAAATCATTGACTTGTGCTATTAGTGCATACCTGTATTCTTATGTGTAGTACAAAAAATGATGGTTGGTATATCCGTGGATGTGCATCTAAGTGCATCTAATGGTTTTCATGCATGAAAAGTTCCATCTATAGCAGAGTGTTGTCGCTCGATATTATGACGGCACAACTAAAAAACAGAAATCGCCCATTAGCTGGTTTTATGGTCGACGCTGCGCTTCTACTTTGATATTCATGACAGATTATATACACGAAAACTCGAAACGCGCAAGTAGTTTTAGTGTCCAAGTTTGAGTGCTAATATATAGAATCATGGGCAATGATATCAGGCCACTTAAATCGCATAGTGTTCCATTTTACTGTCAAAGCATTCACAGTTTCCGGTTTTAATATGTCGTATATGACTATCCCACGCTTACGTAGGACAGCAGTGGTTCTTCTAGTGGCAGTCGACATGATTAGACCGAATCTCTGCAGCAAAGCAGCACTTCATCAATTAAATTTTGAAGTCTAGTGTAGTCAACCTTTAAACAATAACAATGTCTTTATCCGTTCCTCTAAAGTATTGTATGAATTTACTGAAAAGCCAAGCCCACAGCAGGCAGCGATTTGTGTTGAACCTCGTGGACAGTTGTAGACGACTTTACATGTCGGATAACCGATGTATTGCTCTTCTTTGCGAAAACACACGTGAAATCACTGTTTAAATGCTTGTGTATGCCATCAAGGTATAAGCTAAAGTTGGTTAGGTGCCACTTAAGGGCGCGTTCCACAGCTCTTTTTTTCTTCTTCTGAAATTTCGACACTTATGCCGACCTGTATTCTTGGTTCGATTTATCTAGAGCTTTGTACTAGTGAATTCGTGTCTACATGCGTTGGGCTGATTGATCTTAATCACACAGAGCATACAAATTAAAGTGAAATTTAACCCGACGCCGCTCAATCCAGCATTGATATAGTTTTATTTACTTCAAAATATCATTGGGGGGGCAAGTAATGTTTTTCTGCATAAAAATCAAGCGTGTATCGGATAGCATTTTGCGCTTCTATCTGATAGTGACTTAACAACTACAGACCCGTCCACATAACCACCATAATAATACTTTAAAGTAGTTTTACAAACAGTCGTGTATCTAAGCTTATCGTATGTGGCTGAAAAGACTTTCGTTTCCAGCATCTATAAGCAAAAAAACGGGCTTTTTCTATTCAAAAAAAATACAAAGGAATATATTTCATTACAGATCGTTGTTGACGTTGTAGCAATCTCTATTCTGCGCTCTGCGTTGTTCGAAATTGAAATCATTCAGAAGGCAATTGAGCTTGGAATTGATGTATTCAATTTGTTTCAATACCCCCCTATGACACTCGAGGAAGAGTCTCGGTTCGTAATTTGTACCTACAAGATTGCATATCTATTCAAACATGAGACTGAAAAGTCCGCGACTCCGGACGACATAATGGACGCCTGCATAATTTAAATCGTATGATCGAGACATCTCAGATAACCCTTCTGCTGGCTGCAGCTACGCGTTATAAATCTTTGTATTCTCATGAGGTGAAAGATCTGTAGTGCAACGTTTGATACCGCCCTTGGAATATATAGCCATAGCGCGGCCGGATACTAAATAGTCGTAGACAATTCTGGCACAATTTGAACTTCTATGTTCAAGATAAATGCAGAGATATTCACCTTTAGCCGCAACGAAATTGAGGATGTCTAGCGCCAAAACTTCGTCTACCTACCATTGGTACCTATAATATGCAAACCACACTGAAGTTTTAATACTTAGTTCGTTCGCATCATCGTCGCTTGGTTTCGAATATGATGAGCTATCCCAAGGTTTCCCAAGTTTCACCGAAGTGGGACATATGCTCTAATAACGGGTTTCTAAGTCTCTAGTTGCTTTTGGTTTAGACCCAGTCACTTTCAAACTACTCTCGAACGCGTGGAAACTAGCACTGGGTATCGCAAGTACCTTGTGTGAACATTCCAACGAGATAAACAATCTAGAAAAAGCCGAGTGTTCTAGGTTTTTTTGCCTTAGTCCACGGTTCAGCGTTCGTGTGGGAAAAGCATTTAACTGCCTGTGTAGCTATTTTCCACCGTTGATATGTTCTATACCACCCTTCGAATGAACCACTATATCTGCATTCTTGATTGTCTGAGACCACTCTGTACTGGATGCTTACATTATTTTATGACAAGATTGGTATCGGATATATAAAACCCATCGCGGAAGCAAACCTATACTTGGGTCACAAATTACAAGCAAGGGTCTTTACAGTGATCACAATTAAAAGGATTCTTAAGTCATAGCGTCCATGATTGGGGTTTGCATGCGAATTGAATAATTTACCGAGGCTGTTCTTTCACTACGAAACCTGTTTTACTATAGAAGCGGAGAAGTCGCCATACTAATCGTTGCTCCGAATCAGACATGTACGTACTCATTGATCATCGTGTTTACGGCTTTTGAACCCAATCCTAGCGTTGCAAAGCTGACTAAAAACTCTATATCTATTATTACTATTGTCGCGTTAATCGCACAAAGTTCGCCTTCTTGTCGCACTGATAGAGAAACTATTATCCCAAAACTTAGATAAATGTCGTGCTCTTGCACGACTGTACGTAGTTCCTATTTTCAATGACATGTATGTCCACATGTATGAGATTACGTTCACAATAATAGTTACACGTATTTGTATGCTATGTCGTTCTGAATAAGGAATACTGACAATTTATTACGTTTCACTGGTGTCAAATATGCTGTGATATGCCTTTCTTAGAGCATCCTTCTCTTCCACCCGTACTACTAGAGCATACAATTTGTTCCGATCCGAATCGCTAAGCGATGCTAAGTTTTTCACCAATCCGGCTATCTGGGCTTGTTCCTCCTATGAAGTTACAATAAGTGATTCAACCGTCAGCGCTGAAGGTATACAATGTGTATATAAAATGTTTTCTCTGTTTTCTCCGGTACCTCTTCAGAAATCTTTTTTCTTTGTGACAACCCCTTTTTTGCATGCGGTGGCGTGATATGAAATGCCGTATATTGAGTGACAAAACGTATTTTCATAAGACAGATTCAATCTCAATTTAACGTACCCGCAGCTACAAAGACTCGATATGAACTCTTCGAAGTGTAGCGGGCAATACAAAATTTCTTAAACGTTCCAATGAATCAAATTCAGGTCGCTACATGCTATCCGACACTCGTCAGTTGAATTAACACTATACATTTAAAGGTATATGTCCATTCTCCAAAACCATCCGTACAGCAAACGAATAGAGATGGGGTCGGGATAAACTTACTATCAAGTAACATTGTAAACCGTAAACCGTACTCGATTCAATTATCGGACCACATACCTCTAGTTTCCCGTCAGGGTACTCCTTCAGTCTCGCCACAACTATATTTTGCAAGGTCTCACTCACCCCCTCCAACTCCAGGATTTCTTCCATTGTAATAGCCTGCGTGAATAGGTTTCATAAGCAATTTAGTGCGCCAGAGTATACAGCTGTCCCGAGTTCGTAGGAATCAAAATCTGCTCCAAACGTCAATCAAACGTGGAGCTAGTTGTCCTCGGTAATTACAAACATGTACACAGAATATGTTTACCATGATTGTAATCCAGAACTTAGATACAAAACTACGACATCGGCGCCGTATGGCACACAAAATATGCGACGAATTTGTACGAAATCTAGTCTATCGTAAACTTCCTATAGATAAGCGTGCATATGCCAGTGCACAGGCACGCGGACACTGACATGAGCTGGCATGTTCGGCTTCAACTATACCGATCAAATACACATGTGCATGTACGTATGTATAAAGCAGTACATAAAATTCAGTCTGACTATTGTGCAAACTCTAACTTACATTCATATCTTCTACCATGTGCAGCCCATTCGCATCCGAGAGCCACCTCCGGACGAGATTCTTGTCCTTGACACACAGCACATACAACATTAGCATCAGGTGGTAATTAAAGCTCCCGTCACCTACGACGCTGTACAGTACCTCCCCATGGATTTCGGACTCATTTGCACCCGCCTTTCCTGCGCTAATTTTAGAATCCTGATTTGCCACATCAGGATCGGTCTGATCCGGTTCGAAGGCCTTATCAGTACCATTTTGTCCCTCTTTTCCTGTCGTATCTGTCCTATTCTGGTCCAACTTTATCGTCTTATCTGTGCCTTCAGTGGTATTTTCACCGCTCTGAATGGTCTGTTCAGCACTCGCAACCTCGTCGATGTCTACTACCATGACATCGTCCCCCAAGAACACGTCCCCGCGTTGGCGTATGAGTTCCTGTACGCGTTTGTCGATTTCTGTGATATTCGGGGGTGGCACGCGATGTGAGTATAATACGGATACATAATCGTATATTTTGTGACTGGTAGTATCCTCGTTTTTCCTCTGCAAGCTTTGGACGTTACGAAAATGATAATTATGTAGCTCTCGAGGCATGGCCGTATAATCATCTTGCCACGCCCGCCCAAACTGAGAAAGACAAGACAAACGCGAGGTGTGACTGAGAACCGCAGGTCGAACTTCTAAGCACTCAACGAACGCGTACATCAAGAACCTCCGGAGGGAGAAAGTTCAAATGAGCGCGTACATCTAATGGAGCCATGTGACGGATACTGTAATTAATATATCTGGGCTACGATTCTGGTCTTGAATTGTTGTCTTTAGCAGAAGTGTGCAGCCAATAAACAATGTATGCAGTGCTGGGTGTAGATCACTGCGCAATGCAGAGATGTGTCAAGCGAACACTCGCATACGCTGACACCGTACAGCTGCCATATCCGGTCAGCCATGTTGTTGCTTGGGGGTTCATGATCGACTGAGTTTATCCCACATGCAGATAAAAGTCAGCGTAGACAGCACTGATCCAACATAACTATAACACTGGTTAAGGACTTTTCGACAGTGATCGAAACAATCAGTATACTCATACTGCGATTGTATTGGGAGCGAACAAATCATTCCACTCACTAGTGAAGGCGGGGAAATACGGCTAACATATATCTGCTCGAGTGGAAGCCAGTCTCCAACTCATGGGGAAAACCAGGTTTATACGACAAAGAAAAACCCAAGTGCTATGCAAATATGAGTATACCTTTGTGTCCCACTTTGCTGTGGCTTTTGGCCACCTGAACAATCAGTGACAGGCTGATGCGACAGGTTTCGGCCTCACCCCTCGCTCTACCCTTGGCATCCAAATCCACGAAGCCTAAATCCGATCGCATATGAGGAAAATAAAAAAATTAATCCAATAAATTACAATATACGAAACCTGAAATCAACATGCGATTTAATTGTAGTTATGTATTGGCAGGCGCAA